GCCCTGCACTACCCCCAGCCCGCCGGCGCGCGAAGCTTGCCGTGTCGCGCCGCGCCGCGGCCCGGCCTGCTGATGTGGCTGTAACCGCCTGGATCCGCCCCGGCCCCCCACCCCCGCACAGGGTAACTATCTGTTTCTTGACATGGACCCCTGGCGGCAGCTGCGGCCGCTGATGGACGAGACTGTGTTCGTCTCCTGCCCCATAGAAGTAGCCATGGGCCGCGTGTTTGACCGGCAGGTGAGGGGACGGGGCCGGGGATTGACCGGTCCTGATCTGGTCCTTTCGGGAGCGCTGGATTAGGGGGGGTGTGCCTAGCGGGAAGTGGGTGGCCTCAGGGTGTGAACTCTTGTGGTGTGCCGGGCGCCCCCCCTCCACCGCCGGCCCCCGCGCGTCGCTGTTTCGAGGGGCGGCCGACGTCGCTGTTTCCCCGCAGGTGGCGATCGGTGTGGCGCCTGAGGCGTCGCGGCGGCGCATCGCCGGCAACGACCGGCCAAACGCCGAGCAGGTGGCGGCGACGGCCGCGTTTGCGCGCGTGCTCGTCCCCTCTTCGGTGCCGCTGGCCGAGGGCGGCGGCGATGGTTTGTAACAGCGGGATGTTGAGCTTACGTGGGCGTTGGGAACGGTCCATGAGCTTTTGGCAGTGAGCAGCTCCTCCCCTTATTCACTGATCCCAACAGTCATTCCAAATGCCTTGCCAGCACTGTGGGCCCATCTGCTCAAGCCCCATCAGACGGATGACAAGACAACCTATCTCAAGTTTTCTGTCGGGTTGTCAGCTTTTCGTGCATCTAGTCAGAGTGCGAACTCTACAGCGCAGTGAGTCCCGGTCACGCGGAGGCTGGGGCGGCGTTTGTCGCCTGTGTAGCGTGACTTTGGTTCTCCATGACGAAATAGCACTGCTGTAATCCTACAGCACCGGCCCCCAGCGGGTTGCCACCCAAGCTAATGTTTCACGGGTGAACTGTGCCAGCGCGCATGGGCGGGTGCCCCTCAAAGTTCGAGCCTGCATCTAGTGCGTCGGACGCCGCGTCCATTGGGCGGCCGGGCGCCGACCTTGAGGCCTGGGCGCGCGCCAGCAAGCTCGCGCTCGGCGGCGCAAAGGGCCCCGTGGTCGGGCAGCCCCTGTCTTCAGAATGGGGCGGCACCGACGACGGGGCCAGCCGGGACGACGAGCCGGACGAACCGCTACCCACGCTTCATGGGGACGGCGGCGGCGCGCGCGCCGAGGCGGCGGCGTCGCCGTCGGCGGCGCTGCATCTGGAACTGCTGACGCAGGTGCGCATTTTTCCCGCACGCATTCGAATCCGCACGCACACGTACGGCTCCCGGAAACGAGCGGGCGATGCCGGGTGCGGCTGTGTGCGCCGCCTGGTGGGGCGTGCTGCAGTGACACGGCGGCCCCGTCGAGCCCTCGCGCCGCGCCCCTCCCCCACGCGCGCGCGCCCCCCTGGCTCGTCGCGGCGCGAAAAGCGACTGGGCCCGCCCCACGGGACCCCAGCGGCACGGCGCCCTTCCTCCCTCCTGCCCCCTCGCCGCGCCGCAGCTGCATGAGTTCCAGCAGCAGCTGGCCGCGGCCAGCGACAGCGCGCTCCTGGGGCTGCCAGAGGCGGCGCAGCTCGTGGCGACGCACCTCCGCGCCGACCTCGTTGCGTGAGTGGCGGGCATACATTTGTTTCACTGATTCAAAGGCACGCTGAGGCGCGGGGACAGTCTGCCTGTTTGCATCGGCGAGGCGACGGCGCGTGTGGGGAGAGGGTAGGAGTGGCCAGCCCAGGGGGCCGAGGTGAAGAGGCTGTCAAGGCACGAGCAGGCAGGCCAGGCGCCCCCGCGGCCGAGCCCTGAGCGCTCGAACGGCCACCCGCGGCCATGCGCCTTCCAGCGCCGGGCGGGCAGGGCGGCTTGGTGGGCTCCTGCCAGGCGGCGGCGCCCTCCACGCTCGAGCCGCTCCCATGGATTTTGCTGCCTGGTGCTGATCCGGCGCTGGCCCCCCCCCCCCCCGGGGACCGGAAGCGGCCGCCAGATCCCCTCGCCTGTAGCGAGCATAGCACACCCCTGGATTAATCAGCCCACCGCGCGCCAGAGGCGCCGAGCTGACGACGCAGTCCTTGCCAGCAGCTGCAAGCGCCCGCTCCCTCTCCCCAACAAACGCACACACACAAACACACACTCTCACGCACGCGTGCGCGCACACACACACACACACACACACACATGATATCACCCGCACGCCGCAGCGTGTACGTCTTCACGGGCGCCTCTCCAGGCGCCGCCCTCATGGCGGCCCACGGCGAGGGCGCGGAGGCGCTGCAGCAGGCGGGGCTGGTGGTGCGCGGCCCAGAGGCGGCTGAGCTGCGGAAGCGCGCCATGCGGGTACACGTCGTTCTTGATGCAGCCAAGCGCCAGCCGGTGCGTTGGGCTTCGCCCCTCCGACCCCCTCCCTTCCGTCCCTCACTTCTGCCGCGGGACTGGAGGCCGTGGGCGGCATTGGGGTTGAGAGCGCGTATGCAACGCCCGGAGCGTCCGCGAATTGCGCATGGGTAGAGGGATTTTTAAGCGGCTGGGGAGCGCTGCGGCAGGCAGCGCCGGGCGGGCGCCGTACCCTTGCAACAGCCCCATCCCCCCACGCGTCGCCGCAGGGCCCGGCCGCGGCCGTGGCGCTGCCGCGCATACTGCGGCGGTTGCACGAGGGCGCCGGGCTGCGCAGCTCGGTGCACGTGCCCATAGGGCCGGCCGCCGCGCCGCTGGGCGTGATGCTGCTCGCGCAGAGGGAGCCGCACACATTCGGGGATCAGTGGTGAGTGCGCCGGCGCGCGGGCTCCACCCACAGCCCCCTCCCCTACGGCACGCTTCCGATTTTCCCTTCTAAGTGTGATGTTCCGCCTCCAGTCTCGGCCGCCCTTGCCGCTGCCGCCAGCTGGGGTCAGCGCCGCCCCTCCCCCGCCCTATTGTTCAAAGCAGCTCAGCCGAAGCCCCAGCTCTTCACACCTGCTCCATGCTCCAGATGCTTTGATCAACCCCGCATCCATCTGGTTTCCACACGCAAAAACTTTGCAACCAAAACCGTGCCGCCCCCCCCCCCACAGGCTCCAGGTGCGTCTCCACGCCGCGGCCATGGGGCTGCTGCACCATGTGCGGCAGAGCCAGGTGGAGCAGGTGGCGGGGCTGCTGCGGGCCATGGACGAGGCGCGGGACCCTGTCGGCGTCATCAGCGCGCTGCTGCGGGTGAGCGGGCGGTGGGGCGCGGACGGGCTCTCCCCCAGCACGGCGGCTGCCCCGCGCGTCCTCCTGGTTGGGCGCCTTGCGGGAGAGGTCAGCAGGGGGCACCCGGAGTTGCGGCAGTGCACGCCGCCTCGTCATCGCCACATCAACGGCTGAGCAGAAAGCAGAGCATGCGCCACCACCCTCCAACCACACACACCCACACACCAACACAAACCGCACTAGCGGCACACGAACCCCAACAACTGCCGCCGACCCCCACTCCAGGGCGCGCGCCGGTTCATGGCCCACGCCACCGGCCTGCGCATGACCACGCGCCTCGCCCTCGTCCACGAGGGCGGCGCCCCCGACGCGCTGCTGTTCGAGCTGCCTCGGACGCCCCGCGCCATCCTCGGGCTGGCCGACGGCCCGGCCGCTGCCAGCGGCGG